GAAGGGGTGGGAAAAGGGGCGTTGGGGGGGGGGGGGGGGAGAAGCAGAGGCAGCATCCCTCCCCCGAGAGTCCTACGGGGTTCTGTGCTTGTTCATAGTATTTAGAAACTGTTGCAAACACCACTCTCCTCAGTATTTACTTTTAACACACCAAGAACAGAATAAACCATCAGCTTCTGTGAACAAATAAGTATGGAACACTGACAAAACACTGCAGAGGAATAGGAATGGTGCAACAGCAGCCACAGAATATTACAACAATTACAGTCGCCTGTTTTAGCAGCACCTTTAGCATCGGTTTAACATACCAATAAAATTTTCCTAATTTTTCACACAAGCAAGAGGTTGTCTGTATTCACTTGCAGTTATTTCTCAGAATGGAGCAGCTGGAAAGAAGTTGCCTCTCCAAAAGTATAGAAATGCCTTCTGGAAGTGGGAAGTGATATCCACATTCAGCCTGGTTTGTTGCCACAGTCCATATGTACTCACAACTTCAGTGCCTGCCTACTTCTTTCCACACACATAGTTTGCAGCGTTCACCCTTCCAGCATGGGAGAAACCCATGCTTTCCTTTGCTTGCCTTCCACGTTCCTAAATTCTGGATACACGCAACACAAGAAGCTGCCACACAGACACATCTTAAGAGTAACTGAGACACCTGTCTTTGAAACTTTGCTTTTCTATAAGGATGAAGACCATTCGGTGGTTTAGGGGGGGAAATGCATTGCACTGCATAGCCATTATGTTCTGAAGATAACTGGATTACCAAGGCCAGGATTTAAAATGCATTCAAGCTACAGAGATTTTTTTTTTTAGTAATTCCAGATAGTCAGAAAACTAAAAGAAAGCAAACCTGTGAAGTCAGACAAGAAAGCATTCTTGTAGCTAAATCACAGACATCAATCTTTTGCTCCCCAAGCATCCTCAACTCCTAAAACTAATTTTGGTAGACAGAAATTTTATCTATCCTTACGGGAACTCCTGGTATTATAAACCCTACCAGTCACACATCAACTTGAAATCCGTTCACTAATTAGAATGCCACCATCCATCTTTCCAAGTTCATTAACAGCTTATCAGAAGACACAAGCCTGTTCCTCAGAGCTGCTCACAAAATGGTGGCTACCATTATAAGGCTCCCCTGCGCAGTCCAACACAGCGTGCTTCCCTAAAGTTCCAGCTTTGAAGTGGCTCCTCAGCCCCTG